TAAGACTGTCTGGGCACGCTTAATAAGAGAGTTTTCTATTAATTGATTTATTTTATTTATTTATTAAAAATGTATTCATTTTTAGTTGAGCATTTTTGTGCTGTTGGTGGCCTGCAATGAAGTATTTGCTGCCCCAAGTCACGGCTATGGAGGCGGTTGGGGTGGTGGAGGCGGTTGGGGTGGTGGAGGTGGATGGAGTGGCGGATACTCTGCCCCTTCGTACGTAATAGTGAAGAAATATGTCGTAGTACCAACTTACTACTCAGGAGGAGGACATGGTGGCGGACATGGCGGCGGATACGGTGGAGGATGGGGTGGTGGAGGCGGTGGTGGCGGCGGTGGCGGTTGGGGAGGCGGCGGCGGCGGAGGTTGGGGCGGTGGCGGCGGTGGTGGTTGGGGAGGCGGCGGTGGCGGATCGTGGTGATAAATAGTACAATGACATTGTGTTCAATTGCTGTAAAAAATAAATTTATTGACAAAACTAAAATTGTTTTATGTACTATTCTTGTGTCATTGCTGTGTTTATATTAACTAATGTGTGGAACATGTACATATTGGTACTAAATATACTGAAAAATAGTACTATCAATAGTGAAATTATGATAAAACGGGTTGAAATATTTGTACATATATATATCTAACAAATCACGTAGTAGTTTCAATTACAAGAATTAATAATGGTCTAGAAGAGTATCGGTCAAGAGACTGCTATATACAATTTATTATAATTATATTTTAATTACCTCATCTCGTTCCCTACTTTCCTCCATCCCACTTCAAACAACATCTCAATATTTGTGACCGCTTTTGGTGCGTCATTAAAAATATTCCACTTTATCTTTTTAAATAAGACTTTTTTATTGAAAATTATCCAATTTAATTGTAATGTATTGGTAGGTAGATACGATTTCTATTAAATTAAATAATTTACAATTATTGATATATCTGATAGAAAAGTGAACGACACGTGTACAAAATCTGTTTGTGTATACTTTGGGTTAGGTGAATTAGCACTGTTATTTTTAATTTTTTCGTTTTAAAACACGCATCTTTTGCTTCATACTTTAAATAAAGTTCTACAATTTAATCCATCCAAATAACAAAACAAAAACAATTTTCCCAAACTGAAAAAAAATACGTAAGCATTAAGATTTTAATAAATATGTTATCCCATGCATTTTTTGTCGCATCGTGAGGTAATATTCTTAACAAACAACACTATCTATGTTAACTTATGATTTTACAATTAGATTTTTCAAAGAATTGTTAACGTAATTTATATCATTCAACAATCTTATATTTTATATAATTGTATTTTTGTAATTAACCTCTTCCGCCTCCGCCTCTACCTCCTCCAATGCCTCCACCTCTACCTCCCCCAATGCCTCCACCTCTGCCTCCCCCAATGCCGCCACCCCTTCCACCACCAATTCCTCGTCCACCGCCTATTCCTCGCCCTCCAAATCCTCGCCCTCCAAATCCACGTCCACCAAATCCTCTGCCACCAAGACCTCTGCCGGATCCATACCCCTTACCAAAACCACTACCTCTTCCTAACAATCCTCCTCCACCACCAATAAAGATTGGTGGAATACGTCTCTTTCTATAATACCCATCTTGACCAAAAGTATACGGTGCAATTAATAGTAAACATACCAAAAACTGCAATTTAGAAAGATAGTGAAGTAATTAAAGGTGAAACTCATTACGTAATTCAGTAATTCAATAACAGAGTAAAAAAAGCGCGTTTCAAATTTCAAACAATCATAAAAAACCATCCAAAGGAGTAGAAATGTACATCAGACAGTAGCGTTCATGTTTTGAACGACTATTTTCTTACTTTACTTTCGAATGGCTGTCTTTCACTTCACATAAATTATAGTTTCATTAAATATATGCTTATTTACTTTGATTACTTTACACTAACAAATACATAACAAACAGTGGCTTTAATTAAAAAGATTAATTATTAAATGTTAGGGTTATTTTCAGCATTAAAGCACATTAATTAAAATAATTGAATGGGCCGTAGCCCATAAACAGCAAGAGAACTTATATCTAAAATGCTGTCTGCATGTATTATTACGTATATTTATTCTGTGTCTAAAATTAAGTGACTGTAAACAATATTATTATGAACGGGGTAAATTTATTTTCAGAAAATTAATTGTTAGGAGCATGAACATATCAGAAAAGTGCATTGAAATTAGGGAACAATGTCCTTGGCTTTTATTGTTTCAGAGATTCAGGATTATTAGAAACAACTTTGGTTACAAAATAATTGCTTTACAATTTGTTTTCATTTTAGGTTTCAGTTGTGTTAAGGCATAATATGTTTTTTATAGAAGACTTAGGGATGGAATTATTCTTTTTGATTTACTTACCTTGTAAAACACCATAATTGCACTACTTAGATAACACAGTTGTATTGGTACGAGCTAGAGATTTTTGTAATCACACAACACTAACTCGCTACTCAAATAAATAACATTGAAAGAAGTTCGAAAGACGTAAAAACAAAAGTGGTAAACATGGTAAATTTCTTACCGTGGGTTCATGGCCAGTAAAGTAGTAATTAAATTAGCTTAATTTAGGTAATATTGTCCTTGACAGTGATTGACGTGTTTTAGATAACGTAAAAGACATCATCATGTTGCTAATTAATAGATACTCATCAGAAAATTAACAGAAATCATATTTTTGCAATTTATTGCGTATTATTACACCATAATAGTACCCCTTATTTAACCAAATCCACCACCTCCACCAAATCCAAATCCACCACCTCCTCCGAATCCACCACCCCCTCCGAATCCACCTCCACCTCCTCCACCGAATCCACCACCGCCTCCAAAACCACCACCAAATCCTGGTCTATATCCAAATCCTGGCCTATACCCAAATCCTGGTCTAGGTCCAAATCCCGGTCGGTATCCATAATGTGGTCTATACCATGGTTTGTATCCATACACTGGTTTAACTCCAATTATGACTACAGGTGGTAGGAGAAAGGATAATGATCCATTGATTACGATAGCAAGCAGTAATATCAATAATAAAATCTGAAATCAGTAAATAATAATCAGTCAAAGTCACAAATTTAAATGTTGAAATATATGCCTTATTCCTGAATTTAGATGTAACTGATGCTAATGATTATATCTATTACTTTCTGTAATCGATCAATTGGGGATCTCTGTACGGATAAATACTTGTAGTTAAATATGTAATGTTTTTCATAGCTATTCTCACTATAGAAATTGTAAATTCTTAACCCCGAACTTATACCCTACCGATTTTCTTCAGATTTTTATAATTTTTATGTCAATATACCCATTACACATGAAGCATTTAAATTATCCATCAGAATTCAATTACAAATGTACCTATATTAAGTTTAAATCAAAAGTATTGAGAAAATTAAATTCGTTATTTTTGAGAATTAAATTAAAAGTGCAGTTAAAGTAACTTACATTGTTTCGGGTCATGTTCAAAACATATTCCTCACATCAGGCAGTAAACATACCAAGTGACACTGAGTTATTGGGTGATTTTTCTCGAACATTTACTTTTATAATTTGTGGTTTTTTAATGGGGAATTCCGAGTCAGAGAATTTTTTTCGTTTCACGTTAACGTAATCATTACCTATATGTACACAATACGTATATTTTTTTGCATGGTCCCTAATTTAGTAGGACATTTTAATTAAGAACTGTTTACAGACAATATTGTAAAAGACTATTATGAAGGGGTTTCAGTGTCAATTTTGAACAGAGAAGATAAAGAAGTTGATGGGTCTCTCCAAATATTCTCACCTTCAAACAATTATTGCTAAATTCAAAGCTGTATTAATAGAGAAGCTCAGGCTTTCATGGTTGATTTTAATAGATGAAGTATCATTTGATTGTGCTATAGTTGGGTTAGAAATTCCAGGCGTTTCATCTCAGCTGGGGTAGACCCCAAGATAAAAATGTTCGGTCTCTCAGAGTCTCTGAAAGCGGGACTGTGTCGCTGAGAGAGACCGTCGAGAGACTCAAAAAAACTGTTTAGCGTCTGAACGAGAGACTCTAGTCGCTCATAGAGAGATCCTCATTGTGTATCCAGTTTCTGAACGAGAGACTGAAATCTCTCAATAAGTGGTGTCTCGATAGACATAGTTAAAATTTTCTAAGTTGAACATCTTTCACATATTTCAGCGATCCCAGTATTTCTACGAGAGACTCGAGTCTCAATTTTTCAGTTTTATTCATTTAGTCTCTCTGTGATTCCGCCATACACACAACGGCTCTACCCTGGACTATAAGTTGATGGAATTGTAACCCACCAGGTAGTAGGAATAAATTTCCATACAAATGACCTTTAGTAACAATTACTACCTATTTAGTTTATATAATTTGTAGTAGTTTTATAAAAAACCTAGACCTGGTATTGAATTGTTTTATCTTTAGGAAACACCAACATCTAACAATATTAATTATAATGTTCTATATATTCTCTTGTGGTGACGTAAATTAAACATGATAGAAAGTTCTTGAATTATTTGTTGTTTTTAGGCCAGTAATTTTCTCTAATTAGCACTTAAAATTAAATTACTGCTACAACTCTGTTTGTTTACCTACGATTTCGCTATTTTCAAGGACCTTGTTATATTTCACAGCGACTAGATAATACCTAATCTGATTTACAACACGAGCCCAAATTAATGATTCCCTACTTCTATCGATCTAATAACTGTTGTAATAACACTAGTAAAGGGACAGTCCTGGATTTCAATAAACTCAAATGTGTAACAAATTTTACTGATTATGTGAAATTTTCGTTGGCTTCAAAAAAGGCAGTACAATTATGGTATAAACCATTTTTAATATAATTAAAAAAAAATAGTATACATATATTAATGTTTAATTCCATGTTGACGTCGACTATCGTAACCGACTCCTCTGCTTCCTACATATTCTGCATCGTAATTATCCCTGTATTGACTTCCATGATAACGTACATCTTGGTCGTCGTACGATCTTTGCCCATATTGTCCTCTGCTACGATTTTCACCTTGATGGTAAGAACCAGAACCAACTGGTCCACCGACACGATTTCTCCCTTCATCTGTTAGTACATCCTGGCCGCCACTAGCTCTATTTCTACCGTCATGTCTGTGTCTGTCACCATAATGATCTTCTCCGTATCGTCTGTCTTCTAGCCTACTACCGTAATGTTCGTTGTAGTAGTCGTCATTTCTTAAAGGATTCACATATACTTCAGAATCGTAATTCCGTCTTCCGCCTTTTACACCTTGGAGTGGTATGGAAAAAGCGCATGCTAGTAGAGCTAGCAGAACTAAAAATTTTCCCTGAAAAAAAAAAAAATAAGTCTGGTAACGCAGGTCAAAATTGAAACTTTAATTTATTTTTATCAATACCGCTTCCATTTTATTTAAAGCTATCTCTAACTTTTCCTTAGTAGATGCTAATACTGCTATATAATCTACAAATTTAATAAAAAAATAACGGTGACAGAGTACATCCCTGTCTAACTCGCTTGATAATATTTACTTCTCTAAGGTTGCAACCCCACCTCTATAACTGCCTATGCTCTTTATACAAAGTAAGTATCACTCTTCTATCTTCTTGATTTTTGACGCATGGGAAGTTAAGCTAATCATTCTAAATGTTTCGCACCGATCCGCACCTTTCTTTTTAGGTATGATTACTACCACGTTTTCGTTTATAATCCTCTGGGACTTCCCCCTCTCGTGAATGTGACTTCGTGTATTTTGAGTTTAATTAGCGGAATAACTAACAAATTTACTTTGTAACTTTTGAAAATAAATCCTGTTTTACATATATGTTGTACTTAGTATCTCAGTACATTTGCGAATTTATAACTGATTAATGAACTTATAATTGGCATTTACATTTGATAAGTTTAATTATCTGTTTCACTCTAGAATAATCCATATTTCTGTATTAATTAATTTAAAAATTATTGTAACTGAATCTCTCTTATATTCGTAAATTTTGATTCCAGTATTATTTACAAAATTATGTTAAAATATTATAAAAGGACCTGTACTGGTGTTAAACTGATAAGCATATAATTATAAAAAAAGAGTAATAAATTATGATAAATCTGTTGGTTATCAAAACAAAAACAGATGCCCACGTAAGTGAAGGTATACCAATGTTCTAATGATTTCTTACCATTAATTTAATCATCGTCTCTCTACTGTTTATTCACTTAAAAATTTCACTGCAGTTGAAAGAATGAGTGTCAGCGTTTTGGCAGTATATTATATACCAATATGAAATCGCAAAATATTATTAATTATCACATTATCGGTGTAACTGGGATGACCTATTCCTAAAAGTTGATAAAACGTTAGACCTCTTCATGTCGACAAATATTATACAGAAAATCATAATATAAATATTGCCATTAAAGAAGATTCGCTGAATTGTTGTAATAAACAAAAATATTTCATTTTTTCCTTTTATTTCGTTGTGAAACCGGAAATTTTACAGGGATATTTACAATAATTATCAAATATAAAGAGAATCGTAATTTGCTACATTCGTTTACAAAATACTTACTTACCTACTAAAAATTAGTTTAATTTTATTAACTTCATCATACCATACCATAAGATCGTCAGTCTTAAGACTGTCTGGGCACGCATTTTTACCCTTTCGTATCCTGAATTAATCTTCGCATTTCTCTAAAACTACAACATCTCACATCCATTAACTTACTCTCGATTATTATATGATAACAGACAGTCTAAGTAATAAATTGCGAGAAAGAAGACCCTAAATTCGATTTCAAATCAAGAATATTATTTAAATAACCAAAAGGGTAAAATACCATTTATTTTCTAAAAAAAAAAAAGAACGGACTACGTTTCGTCCTAATAAGCTGTCGAATTTTCTCAAGGTTGGTTTTTGAAGTTGAAGTGCAGATGGAATTTCTTTTTTGGAAAAGTACATATTAATTAACAAACCAAACTAACTCAACAATTGTATAGATAAAAACATTAAATATAGCAACCAACATTCACCATTAAGACTAAATATTGTAAAATTAAGCCCTTCAACTTAGGGTGAAACGTTGGCGTTTGTTTTAAAAAAAAAATAACTTTTTATCTCTTTTAGCTTTCCTTTCACACTGAGTATTTCTATATATCAGTCAACTGCAATAATATATTCCATGAATAGATGGATTTGTTTATCATTTAAATAACATGATAAAGAAATTAGCGAAATCAGTATTATGGAAATTTTTAACAATTAATGTGTTCGATGGGTTAGACAAGATCCATTATCCATTATTGTTTCTTTTGTTTTTTATGCATTATCACAATTATCCACCACTCTTTGTTTGGTTAGTAATGAAAAGCGAGTCTATATCTTTTGAACTACATTTTTTCGAATTCCACATTAGGAATTAATATGGCTTATGGCAAGTGAAGTGATAAGATATAAAATATTATGTCGTGACATCTGACCTTTATAACAATCACTTTATTTACCGATATTTCATTAAAATGCAATATTGTTTTTGGAATCAGCTGATTATTTCAATATTCAACTTCTTAGTTGCCTAGATTTATGGAGTAAATCAACTATTTATAAACTGTAACATAAACGAAAAATATATGTCTGGGCATTTATTAAAATGTGGAAATGTTTACATAGAATATTCAATAACACCTACATCGTTCCGGAAAAACAATATTACAATCCAAGTGTCATGGTAACATTTTCTAATAACCATGGTGTTTATAACCATTGTGTTTTGGACCGTGTTCACCTCCAAATCCACCATTTCCACCACCGAAGCCACCACCCTGTCCGCCACCAAAGCCTCCACTGTGTCCGCCACCGAAGCCTCCACCCTGTGATCCTGTATGACCACCACCAAAACCACCACCTGGACCACCACCACTATTTCCGCCGCCAAATCCACCTCCATGACCGCCTCCTTGACCAAATCCACCTCCATGACCACCTCCTTGGCCAAATCCACCTCCTTGTCCATCAGTGAATCTACCACCTTCGTTACCACCTTGTTGGTGTCCACCACCGAATCCACCTTGTCCACCACCTCCTCCAAATCCATCCGCTTCACCACCTCCAACACCTCCTCCATGCCCACCACCAAAACCTCCACCTGACTTACCTCCACCGTGACTGCCATAATATGGTGAACTTGATACAGAAGCCATTAAGGCAACTGTTACACATATGAAAACCTATAAATTAAAATATTTTAGTATGTATCTAAATAACACTTTTATAATTGATGGTTTATTGGATTAAGGGCTGTATTAAAACCGTGTTAAATGGAATAGAGGAACGATGGTCTTAATACTTTTTGCTCCTATCAACAAAAATATCTTGCACAAAAATTTACTAGCAAGTAGTAAAATTATACCACCTGTATCTCTTAATTATTATTATTTAAAATTAATTGAACTCCTAATGTGAGTAATAAAAAAATAAAAAACTTACTATTAGTTTCAACATCTTTCGAATATTGTCAACGATTGAATGGTAATCATTTGTACTGGAATTCTTTCCAGTATTTATGGATTCCTTTACAGATGGTTTATTCTCATTAAGATAACAGTAATTTTATTAAACATGATGCAATACGAATAAACAAAGTGTAATTTTTAATAATACTTTCACTAATTAGCATCATCAACGTTCTACAAATTCAAAACATATTTGTTAGTATTAAAATCTCTTAAATATAAACATCGTTATTTTGTTAACAAAGTGGCCTTTAATTTTAAGAAATTATTGAAATGCACAGATATGCAAATAGCGTGCTCCATTTAAAATTTCGGTCAATTACATAAATAAATAATATAATCAGTGTTTCTAGCCGCACTTGCTTTTCTTAATAATCTGAATACAGTCGAAAATTTTTTTGTTTTCGAGATACGGAATCATAAGCGAAAACCTATAAACAACAAAACGAAAAGAAATTGGTAAATATAAAGGAAAATTACTTCGCAGCAGTTAATATATTGTAATCTCCATATACATTATGTACTATATTCATCGTACATGTACACATATTCAATTTAGTGGGCAGCTATGTATAAAACTGTGCCTAATAAAAAAAAGTTCACAATTTAATTGTATGTATTTGCTGACTTCTCTATTTCAATACTATTGTTACTCTCGATAATGATTATAGCGTTATTAGACCAACATTGTTTTAAATTTTCACAAGCTGATGTAGATTTAATATTACCAGCAAACATTTAAATGTTTGAAGAAAAACCACGTTTATATTTCTGCTTGAACAGATACAGATGCGCCGTAAGAAAATTGATAAATTTTTGACAATTTGCTTTCTGGGTCGATTTTATTTAGTATTTCTACGTATGTTGACCAGTCTTTTTATAGCTTCACAGTTACTACGCTTTTTTGTGCTTCATTCAAACAACTCTGTACTTAACCTAAGTAATTCAGTATTAATAGTTACTGTTAATTTTCCAAAAAGTAACTGGGTGTTTAAAGATGAATGTAAATTTGATTACTGATTGCGTAGATGTTGAAATTTATATATAACTAACGCCTTCTGTTAGGAATACAATACTGAAGAACAAAAACATTTTCAATTCTTGTCATCAATCAGCATTTATTGTTAGACATAAAGGAGCTTTTTTATTACACTAGTAATGTGCATATCTACACAACAAACGTGTTGTAGGAAAGGAAATCTTCAATGAATTTTCATGTCTTGAGTTTCTTCACTGGTTGATCTTCATATGAGCTTTCTCCTAAGTCAATTGGCGAAAGGGAGTCATCATATTTTTCACTCTTGTAAAAATATTCGTCGCTAGAAAACTCTTCAGATTCTTCAACCGAGGGAGATATTGCTTGCGAATTGTCGCTAGAATTTGTCAGATATAGAAACAATTCTCTTTTATCAATTTTTGATGACGAGTCATTGCCATCAAGATTTAATATTTTAACATTTCCATTTTTGACCCTTCCAAATAGCCCGTCGTTGAATGCATTAAACGGGAAACCGTTGCTGTAGATAATCAAAGCGAATAGTAGTATGTTTGGGACAATTATCTTCGTAGTAAACTGAAAATAAGATTAATTTCATGAATAGGTTAAAGATTTTTAGCGATTTAAGTAAGGATTATTGAAAACTATAAATTACATAGATTCACCGGATAGTGATTTTGTCGGATACCGAATAACCGTGTCCCCAGCATTAGTTTGTTCTGGCAGGTTTTCCATTAAATACCATCCAAACCACCTTCGTCCCAAAGCACATTAAATCTCGTTCAAAAAGTCGTTTAAACATTAAGCAATGAAATTTTAATTCTTGGTTGGCGGATTTTTAACGAGATGATTGAATTGAAACCGTTTAAACGAGCTTATAATGTTTATAAATACTAGAGAGAAAGACTGCACGGTAGCAAAAAAAGTTATCATTAATCAAAACCTGATATACCAACACGTGACAGAAATTGTAACAGTTTGGTCATACTGTAAATGTATTCTTGTTCACGAGAAAAACTAAAAGCAAGAACTGTATCGAAATAACAAATAATTTAAGGTAGTAATCAATAAATATTACAAATACGAACAAACGAAAATGCGATGTTTCTCTCTGATTTTAGGTATGCGCAATTGTAACTTCTGGAAATTTGGATTTCAATATTTCTTGTATTTTAGACTGTTCTTGTTTTGTAATATATTTTACAAAAATGTACCTAGTAAAAGCCAGGTATCAAGGTAAAACGTTATTTTTTAACAGAATAAATTCAATCTTCGTTTAAATAAGAATCTAATAACATGCATTAGCCGGATGTGACTTACATACGCTTAAAGTTTTCTAAAAGAATATTTTTTAGATCAAATTGCATACCTACCCAAAAGAATAAATGTAAATAAAAACCAAATAAACGCGTAACGGTGGATCAGTAAAGTTACTTAATTAAATCCCGACTAATCGTTTTAACAGAAATTCATTATCAATAAAAAAATTGTATATTCCATCAAATTTTAAGAGCGTTGTAAGTCAATCGCTGTCATTTTACGATTGTACATTACCATATCTGCTTATCTATACTTTCGTGGTAATTTACTCAATTAAACGTCTGTTTTAATTTTTCACTGCACACTATACGAATGTTCACAAACTGGTTGATTGACTGACGAACTACCTTAGGTACTAATACTAACTCTCAATCAGGAACAATTGATATTAAAAGGTAGACGTGTTTTAAAACACTACGTACGTTTTTGATAAGAAATTTCTCCTTTGTTCGAGTACGATGTATTAAAGAAGAATAAAGAAAAATGCGATGGTTTCTAGCTTTGCAAAGAGAATCAAAGGTGGCAATCTGACAGACAGACAGACAGACAGACATTTATCAAATTAACCGTTAAGTCCTTTGGAAAGAGTCGTTTTTCCATATTTTTTCACTGTGCACAAATAATTTCTGTCATGTTAAGGATTTTGTTACTGCTGAAGTAACTATTCAATTCCAAAAATTTCGCATTTGGTCATCACCAAACGAATTCTTAAAAATGTCAATCATGAAATACTATCAAAATTTAGAAAAATGAACATCATTTAAAATTAACTCCTAATAACATGATTGAAAATTTGTTAGTTTTTGGGATATGTCACATAGTACCTATAAGCATATTCACAAATTAGTAGTACAATAATAAAAAAGAGACAAATTGTTTAAATAGATACAAAGAAGCATAAATTTTATAAAATATCACCAGTATTCCTTCCCTGCGACTAGCCAAGAAAGGTAAAGGTAACTTTCTCTTCCTTGTGGTAGGTATTCGGGATAATAGATTTATAGTTCTAATAATCAATAAGAAAGTAAGATATTTACAATTTTGATTTTATAGTCCGAAACTGACAAATTTAAACTGAAGCGAATATACTTTGGAGAATAGAATTGCAATAAAAACAATTGATAAAAGTAAAAATCATACAAATTAAGAAAACATAAAATGGTTTTAGTTTTAGTAATATAAACTTAATATGGCCACTTATTTCCATAAATGTTGTAAATAATACCTAGTAATAATAACCATTGTATCAAAATTGCTTCTGAACGTCATAAGTTTCATGTTATAGGTACACCATTGTGTTACAATACCTCTACATTAAAACACTTTTGTACATTTACAACCGGTGTAATTAAAGCTATGTTTGGATTAGTACCTAACTAAAACAAATAAGTATTGGAAAGGAGCTTATGTATCATTTAAAATAACATAACATTAAACTGAAATACAACTAAGAGAAAATATTAAAATGAGCCCTAATATATTATTTAAAAATGGGGGATCATATTTTAATTAAAAACAAAAGAAACAGCTAATTAAAATGCCTATATGTATCACTACATAGTATAAAACAAAGTCCCTATGTATGCTTAGATCTGTAAAACTACGCAACGGATTTTGATGCGGTTTTTTTTAATAGATNAAGATATGTGTAAATTGATAATTCGTCTCCTTATCTCCGAAGCAATTGAAAAAAATACAGAAATTAAAATAAGAAGTGTGTTTATCTGTCCGTTTTTTGGTAATAATTTCAAGAAAGTGAGCAGTCTGTTGTAATTTCATACATATCACTATTCGCTATTATAGTATAAAACAAAGTCCCTATGTATGCTTAGATCTGTAAAACTACGCAACGGATTTTGATGCGGTTTTTTTAATAGATAGAGTGATTCGAGAGAAAGGTTTATATGTATAATACATTCATAATATAGTAGAGAAACACTGATAATCATAGAGGTTTCCAATGTGATGTCGTAAATAAACACATTTTTTGCGCTTACATTGCAAACGCTGGCTGAACCCTACGAGATAGATCAAAATAATATACTACAGTAACTACAGCATTCTACATCTTAAAAATGTCTACAAAGAAGCCCGGGATGGTATTGGTCCATCTCTTAGGGATAAGCCACAATGACCATTTTTTATCCTTTACTTTTTATGAGAAATAATGGCTTATTTACGAAGCGATTTTAAGCAATACAGCATTAATTCTTATTCAATTAAGTACCTTGAATACATTATGCTTTTAATATAGATCAATATGGCCCTCTACAGCATGTAATTTAAATGAATATTACAGATTTAAAATGCAGGGACATGGCGGTTGCGGCGGTACCGACCGGGAGGCCGGTTTGTATTGTATAATGACAAAAAAAGCTGTGAATGTTGTATGTAAAGACATTCTGTAGTATATTTAGTATGTTCAGGGGGTGTCTTTTGAAGATTTACCCTCCTCTAGAATAATCTAAACAAAAAATATATTTAGTATCATTTACCCAAATAAGAAATGTATACCTTGCAATAACATTCAGCCCTTGAAATATTACTTTATTCGACGATTAGCTACTGGGTATTACTCAGCTACAATATGTGCTCTTATACAATAATAAAAAATATTTTAATTGAGTTCAACTCGTGGTAATGCATATGAGTTAGCAGGTTGTGCACCACCTCCACGTTTTACTGTAACGGCCATAAAACTCTCATCGTCATCATTACGAGATTGTTGCGACCTCAAAATAGGGCGTCCTGGTGAAACCCGGATTCCTATTCTCTCTTCATTTTGAGCGTTACTTACTATCATTATGGCAATCAAAAAGGCGACGGTTATTTTAATCTGCGACAATTGTTACATAAAAGTGAAATGTAAATAGATAATTTTTACAAAAAAATATAGACAAAAACCACTTACCATTGTAAATAACTTTCCTACGTTACTTGTTAGAAGATGTACTCAATTTGAACAGTTTTAAACGTTTTGTTTCATTTATATAGAAGAAAAAATTATACACTGCGTATTAATGATTGCAAAAAACATAATGCACATTTCAATTAGTTAAATAAGCGTGAAATTTATAATTGTGGGTAAATTTTCTATATTGTCATTTATTATTACGTATATACATAAACACGTCAAATAACGTAAAAACGTAAATCGACCTGTTCCGTTTTGATTTAAAACTGAATCTTAATTATAAATACTGTATTTATTAATGATATGTTTTGATCGCTATAATGAAATGGGGAAATAATAGATAGTATTATATTACAATATATAAAAAAATATATATNTATACATAAACACGTCAAATAACGTAAAAACGTAAATCGACCTGTTCCGTTTTGATTTAAAACTGAATCTTAATTATAAATACTGTATTTATTAATGATATGTTTTGATCGCTATAATGAAATGGGGAAATAATAGATAGTATTATATTACAATATATAAAATAAAATATATGATAAATAATTCTCATCTTTATAAAATATATACTTATGTATGTATTCATGAGATTGCAGAAAGGTAATTTAGATTAAAGATCACTTTAAAAATCTAGCAATCAATTTTTAGAAATAGGATTATGAAACATTGCATTTATCTATTAATTGATAATGATGTGAAATCGGATAGATCTCGAACAACAATTCGCTTATGAATTAGCTTATTATATTTTAATCTACTACATCTTCATTAACGATTTTCTTCTATATTTTAATTCTATTTTAAGTGGATGAGTTCAATTTTATATTTACTTATTTATGACATATTTAAGGGTTCTTTTAATTTTGTTTGTAAAGAGCTGTTCTCATATTAAAAAACGTTTTGTGGAATTTTGGAGTTTTTGAGTGTTTACTTAGTCAGGTTCCACAGTACTCCAATAAATATTCTAGTAAAAGCTGTCTTTTCGCACATCTTATTTAAGCCAATATTCTTTTTTTAAAACGGGCACCTCATATATTGCAAGTAAAGTACCTGCCGTAGTCGTGGTTTTTCGGGCTTTCTGGCTGTCGTCTTTCAAGGGATCTCTACTAGGGTTGTCACCTTTTTAGGCTTTACATAAAGTATTTCTCGACTAAATGGTTCACAAAAAAAGTACTGAGCATAAAAATAAAGTATTTTATTTTTTGTTTTTAAAAACATATTTTTTGTTACACCTAGCAGCCAGTNTTCTTCAAAAATTAATAACTATTTAATGTCTTTATAAATCATTTGACAACAAATTAGCAACATGCCCTAACTGTTGGTACATTTGGCTTGCACTTTTTGTGCCGGAGGATATGTGGCCCTACCCTACATATACATACATATGTAATGTACCTTTGTAGTTAACGACCTTACACTCTAATTCTAAGCCTGAAAGTTGGAGTAAAATGTATCATTCAAAATTAAAATACAACAAGTACATTTAAATTTCACATTTATCGAATCTGTAATAACTGTCTTCTCCATTACATACATTCTATTAAAAGTGGTCAAAAATTCTTTCGTTAGGTACATAAGCTACTTGATCAATAGACTAGGAAAGGACATAATAATATTTATAATTTTATAAAATCGGTATTTAGCACCCAATTAACACACAGGATTGTTACAAGAACAAAGGAATTGTTTACATGTATAAATAACTCATGAGTAAAATATATAAAAATATTTCCAACAAGAAGTTAATTAACTAAGTATTTGATAGGAAAATGTTGTTCTTTAAGAATCCATTTATGCAACTTAAATAACGCCTCATGTATTCTCTTCCATCGGCATTTCTTGTTACTTCCTTATCACAAAAGTTTCTTCCGTTATAGTTTAGCATTGCATAATCGTCACAATTTGTGACTCCATCGCCGTTGCAATCCTAGAAAACCAAGGTAGACCTAACTATAGGTAATAATTTCAAGAATATGTTCTTAAAATTGTCACACTCTTTTCGTAATCAAGAAATGGATAACATTTCGTAGTTTAACCTCTGCTGTTTTTTGTAACAACAATATATTCTTTAGTTACTTAATTAAAAAAAAGCAAAATACCTACTAAATTTATCCATGTTTGCTACTTATTATTATTATATTAAAAGTTGATAAAAAGATCATCGCAAAATTTTAATTAAGTATAATAACATAAAACTGACCTTTATTAACGATTTAGTGAAGTTAATTTATATCAAAAGTAAATGTAATGTTTTTGTTTTACATTTACTTAAAGAAAATGATTGTACAATTCTACCTCTAAAAGTACTTTTCAAACTTACCGTTGCATATCTGATTATATAACTTCTTAATGTGTTCAACGAACATGAATAATCGGTTCCACAAGTTTCATATGCTAGAAAATTAAAAAAATGTATGTGTTAATGTAGAAAAATACACTTTCAATTACATAATTGCAGTGTCTCACTGTCTCACTGTCAGTTAAAACAAATGAATAGAATTTTAAACAATAATGTAATTTTGAAGTTTTTGGTTGCTGGGGCTGAGAGAGATACTATTTGTGAATCCCAAAATGTATCCGTTATCCATATTCGCCAGGTAATCCGTAAAGTATTTTATCCAGATCTAAGTGAGGTACTAGAAGATACTATTTAAACGATAGTATCTCCCGGTATCATAATAGGAGAGGAAAAAAGATAGCAGCTGATTGAGATTGAATCATCCGTGTTCGTATCGTGTATCTGGGCGCTAATGCCAATATCCGTATCCGATATCCGGATACATTTTCTTATGTTCTGAACATCACAAGTTCGTCGCCCAAAGACTGTTTAGGCATAAGTCTCTTTTTCCCACCTTAAAGCAAAAAAGTAGGTCTTTATCTGCCCCTCTTTGCTCCTGTATCCGTTACTAGTCCTTCATGTGTCACAAGGTGTATTATCTCCACATCTCCAACCTTTTATTATCAAAAGTTAATTTTGTCGCAACCAAACAAAATTAATTTTTCTATCCTTCGGGAATACCTAGCATTTTTTCTGGATAAAAAGAGAGTACTTTTTCTGTCCTACTGACAATGTGGGTTCAAAATTTCATGATGATCGATTGAGTAGTTAAAGGGTAAAATAGTAGCAAACGAACTCACATTTCCATTTATAATATTAGTTAGGATAATTTGGGTTTGTGTTGCTAGAAAATTGAATACTTTACCTCCATCTCTATCAGGATCATCATTTGCTACCGTCGGTCTCCCAGAATCCATCCAATACCTCCGTTCTATTTGAAATGGTCCACAATATCCACCTTCACATCCTGCTTGCAGATTACAAGCACTGGCAGCTGCACATAGGCATTGAATACATTTGTCATCCAAGTTCGATATGTATAGGTCTGAAAGATACAACCGATTGGAAAGAAATGAGTGGTACATTTAAGTAACTAATTACAAAGAAAAGCATAGGTATATCAAATAATTAATGATTAGATTTTGTAGAGGTTTTGAAATAACAGAGTGTTTTTAAATGAACCACGTTTCGTAGAAGAAAATTAAGTATGCAAAACCACTGCCCATAAATTTTTAGTTTGAAACTTCTTGTCGAATTTTTTGGCGACTATTACAAGAGAATTCTATTTATCAAAATCTAATATTATCTTTTAATTAATTAAGCTAGAAAGTGACCAAAATCGAAATTAAGTGTAAAAAACTGTTTATGGTGCAAACGTTTATAGGTATGCCCAAAAACTATTAAAAGAACCAGTTGAAAAATTATTTCAATCTTAATTCTAGTCCAAAAAAAAAAAGATTGAATTATTGTTGGTATTTCCAAGAGTTTTTTATGAGCTAGGTATTCTAGTCAATAAAATTATCGAGTCTAATAAATGTACGCAGCATGATAATAAAGATATACTTCTGCAAAAATGTAAATGCTTTTGCAGGAGGAATCGCAAATATTGTGTATTTCTGTTGAGATACCCTGGATATTTCGAATACATTGAAGGCCTTGAACTATCTTTTAATACTAAAAAAATTTTAAAGCAAGTGCAAACTTGAAGAAGACACAAATATCAAAATAATTACATACAAAAGGAAAAGGTAAACGTGGAGTTTAAAAGAAAAAACTGAATTATGACAAAAAGAAGATATAAACAGTTAAATGAATGAAATAAAACTGCTAAAATAGGTAGATTGAGTTACTTACTTCAAATTTTGTTTTTTATAGTTAGATTTTAAACAAACAGAAACAGTGTTTTACCTTGTGCATAAATTTTATCCATAATTACCACTAGCACAGTAACCGCACAGTAATAACAATATATTAACACTTTGGCGCACATAGTGTGCAATTTTCTGCTCACCTCTAGATAGTAATTTGTGGCAATTATTTTATGAAGTGCGGTTCGTGAATCTAAGTATCGAATCGACTACAAATATTTCGCCCAAGGTCCCATATTCGCGTCATATTTCGTTCAAAAAAGAGTTGTGCTGTTCCGGAACAACAATGACAATACTAGGCCAAAAAGAAAGACTCACTCCCACTCATCCACAGCACCAATTGTTTATTTTATGCTTAAGGTTAGATCATTAATTTTGAGTAAATTTTGTGAACGAATTGCACTAGCGAATAAAGGTAATTGTATGATATTAGGAAGTAGTACTTTGTCTAGGTCACGGATTCTCATGTGTGTATCTTTCATATCCCCACGCACCCTTATTAAATTTCCTAAACAATCTAGAACCATTTATAAAAAACTCTCGCTTTATAGATAAGAAATAAAGGATAATACAGTTACAATTTCGTTTCTGGTCAAAAATTGAATTGATTTTAAGAGCAATTTGCTCAATTTCAATCTTAATTGGGATTGAGAATTTACTCGATTTCTATATTTCGTTTTTATCATGATCACAGATAAATCATGTCTTTAAGGATTCACGTACCATCATCAATAGATGTAATGAAATTGTGGTGTACTCTGTCCAACATTACAAGTAATTTAAAGCAATTGAGGGAAGACAAGAACTGCTTATTATACTCTGATTTTCAAAATAATTTCGCAAAGAAAAGAAACAATTTTAACTAGCTTCATTTAAGTTTCAAAGTCCATGCATAAATACCAAATATAACAGTAATTGAAGGTCAATGTGCATCACAACTTTTAAGATTATTTTGCCTTCTAAAAGCAGTAGGTATATATTAGTTGCTTTTATGATAACATATCCGAAATACTATAATTAAAAATTTATCGAGAAGTCAAAATTTTAAAATGATGTTTAAGCAACAGTCCGAAACGGTAGATGGTGTCATTCATTTGTAAATTTCATTTGCATTTGTAATTATTAACGTCTAGCTTCAGTTTATTAGTTTCCCACATGGAAATGGACAGACCCTACAAGCTTCTGAACCGAATCCGGATTTACTTAGATTAAATTACTGTTCACAAATAGTTAAGGATGTGGGATGTTCCAGTTTTAAGGAAATGTGGAAATTAGCTCAGGATACGAAATAGTTGAGGTGCGTGTCCAACCAGTCTTGGAACTGACGACTGGTGTACTAATGATGAAAGAATAAATAAAGCAAAAGATACTCGTCCTAATAAGTAATAAGTACTAAATGTTTTCACTGTGGACACGTGTTTCGCCCACTTCAATTGTTCCGGTTCGTTGATGATGCTCACATTGTAAGTGGGCGAAACACGTGTTGAAAAGTTGGTTATTTTAGTTTTAGGGAAATGCGAAGATTAGCTGAGGATAGGAAAGAGTGGAGGTACGTGTCCAACCAGTCTTAGGACTGACGACCTTATGATGATGATGATGAAAGAATGTTGTTGCGATGGTAGAAATTTACAGGAATCCTTAGTTCTTCTTTTATAGAAGTTAAGCCAAATTGAGTATTACTCTTAAAGGAAAAACAAGAAACACTCGAAACCTTCCTATTTTATTTGATATTAACTACTTCTTACCACAAAACTCTTCATTCATAAATTTCACGAAAACACATCTGTATTCAATAGGTACATATAGTTCCTGCAAGTCAGTAAAAAAAGCCATTACTTGTTGTACGGTTAGTTTAATATAAAATGCTACGCCACTGGTTATGTTTCATCGATCGAAGTGGCTGTTATCCTACACAATGGTTACTAGATTTCCCACTCTAGATATGACAAAACGATCATCAATTAGACAAGCACAGTCATTTGTCTGGTATCCTTGGCGAATTCTGATACCGACCGACTTAACCCTTAACGCATCTGTCCTAAGAATATGTGTTTTTGCACATACACTGTCTCATTACGACGAAGAAAAATAGACAGACGCTTGCTTTGATTAATTGTTAACACTAGTACATGTTTCGCCATGTAATAATAAGTTTTTAGACNAGTCATTGAGTACAAAAGTTGACCTTAGCATTACTGGAATAATCTCACTTTAACGTTTGCTTTACTTCTTCCATAATTAGTAGAAATCGATTCCTCGAAAACGAAGCATTCCCAATTGTTAATATGGTCTTCTGTGATGAAAATAAAGTGCTATATGGACCCAGTAGCCTTAATAAATTACCTTTAGTATCCACTGGAAAACTGTTGTTCGAAAAAATAAAAAATGCTCCAAAAAAGAAGGCAGCATTGGTAATATATTTTTTTGAGAATACTATCATAAAAGCTTAGTTATTAAAGTTGTTTTTAATATAATTCTACATTACTTGACTAATTATTAAAAAATAAGTAAATAAAACAACACTAACATGAACAAATGAAAAACTAATTTCTATTGATTCCTTACTATAGTCGGATACTAGTGAAATTTTTTGATTAGGTATATAAGAATGGGTACTGGGCAATAATACAACTTATTTCAAAATCTTAGCCTAAAGGCATTCAGTTAATTTACTTGTAATGTATTATTTTATTATAATTTTATCAGTAATTGCATTTTATATACGTATTACGTAGTTCAGTTTATCATGAATCTCTTTCGTTTTTTATTAAGGGTTATCATTTTTACCGATGTGACGATTTATTAGCTGCAGTCTTTATATTAAGTTTAGTATTTTGAACAAAATATGAATTTACGATAAAAGCAACACTCAAACGTAACCTTTTTTCAGATAAATGAACCATCAGGTGTTTAAATGAATTATGAGGATTTGTTAATACAGAGCGTAAAATTGGCAAAATATTTCCAAAATGTAGGTGTACATGAAGGGGATACAATCTCGGTTATAAGTGAAAACACCACCAAATTTGTAATTCCTGTTTTGGCAGCACTTTATCAGGGTGTAGCAGTTAACTGTCTAAGTCATACGTACACAACAGGTAAAAATTGATTTTGTTTCAATTCGCTAATGGGTGTGATAATTAAGCTCTGAGTGGGACATTGGCAAGGTTTTTGTGGGGAATCATCATCATCAGGTCTTCAACCGAAGAATAGTTGAAAATATCTGCGCATTTCTCAGAAAACTTACATCTTTACTAACTACTAGGTTTTACCACCTTTTCATACCGTAATTACTTAACTGATCATAATGAAATTTTGTACAAACATTGTTAGGGGTGCAGAAAAGAACTTACGGCACCTTTAATCCAGAAAAACAATTCTATTCCCGAGAGACAGAAAAATTAATTTTTATGTGATTGTCGATAATCTTTGACACGTCTTTGGGGTATGAGTGAGAGCGAAACCTCGGGTAAAACTTATCATGAAATTTTGTACACACATTGACAGGGGTGCAGAAAAAAATATAAAGTATCTTTTATCCTGTTCCCGAGGAATAAAACGATTAGTTTTATGTAATATTAATTTCAAAATCATTTTTTCGATTTTTTATTTACACAATACAAACTACCTCAAATTAATGAGGGGAAAATTGTTGCTGTTGTCACACCCCCACCGGGAATCGAACCCGGGACCTTTGGCTTTACCCACAAATGTTCTACCACTAAACTACGAGAGGTAGAACAGTGGTGCGTAAAGCTATAGGTCCCGGGTTCGATTCCCGGCGGGGCAAGCGAAACCGCGGGTAAAACCTAGTGTATAGTATTGGTTATAATTTTTTTTCCACGGCGTTCACTGTCCACGTTTAATACCCTTACCGAAAGCGAAAATTTTTAAATGAAAATTATTGAGGACAGTCGAGTTCGGCAGGTACGGTCTCATTAATCCCACATTAGGTACGGTCTCATTACTCATTTAGAGAAGTTGTGCGTAACAAAATAATTAACAACTTAATTGTTGCATCAAGTAGTAGGAATTGAACATTTCAAAATTAAATTGGAGCTTTCTTGAGTAGATAATTAAGAACAATTCTACAATTTTCTAGGAGAATTCGCAAGATTATTGAATCATACAAAACCGAAGCTAATATTTTGTTCAGAAATAGTTCAACTAAAACTTAAGCCGTTACGTGAAAGAGCACCTTACATTAATGAAATTATTACCTTTGGAGAAATTCCATATGAGGGAATGCTAGAGCAAATATTACTTCAAGTGACCGATAATGATATCGACAGTTTCAACCTAAAGATGTTAATCCTTACGATACTATCGCTTTAATTTTAACATCTTCTGGAACTACAGGTCTTCCAAAAAGCGTTCTTCTTCCTCACATTTGTTCAAGACAATCATTCATTTTCATGAGGTAAGACCAAGATAACTAAGCTGAAGTTAATGAAGTCAATAGCCGCAAATTAAATGATAATGATGCTTCAGTTATCATTTTGTGTCACTCTTCTTTGCCTTTGTAGCGATAAAGATTATGGCCATATGAATTCAAATGATATATCATCACTTGTGGTACCTGTGACCCATCCATTTGGTTTAATATTACTCACATCTGTGTTGTATACCAACTCCACAGCCGTCATTATGGGCAAATTTCAACCAGAATGCTACTTGAATGCAATACAGAAGCATAAAATTACCAAACTTTACGTGGTACCGACTATAATGAACCTTCTTGCTAAATCCGACTTATTGGAAAATTATAACTTGGAAAGTGTCTGTGATATAGTTTGTGCAGGAGCACCACTGTCGGTCAACATATCAAAAGTTGTAAAAGAAAGGTAGACAATCGCTCCTAATGCATATGGTTCATATCGAACTAATGCCTGTTAGGAACCTTGTGTGTAATTTGTTTCTTTATCTATCGTCAGGTTCAAATTTGCCAAAGTGAGGCAAATGTACGGCCTCACCGAACTTGGCACAGGTGCTTCGATGCAGCTGTGGAACAATCAGAAAATCTTATCAAGCGTGGGTAAACTTATTCATGATTTGGAAGGTAAAATATGGGATCGAGAACGAAATGTAGCGCTGGGGCCTTATCAGAAAGGGGAACTTTTAATAAAAGGTCCTATATCAATGAAAGGATACATAGATAATAAGGAAGAAACGGATGCAGCCTTCGATGATGAGGGTTTTTTACGAACAGGCGATGCAGCTTATTATGATGATGAAGGGAACATTTATATTGTTGATAGATTCAAGGAACTTATCAAATACAAAGGTTTTCAGGTAAACTATTTGAGACGCATATCATTTCTCAAAAGCTAATTA